CAATATCAAAATTTTCAAAACGTTTTTATCATCAGTTCTTTAAAGATAGCGAAATAACTTATTGGAACTTGTACGATATGTTACTCTATAGAATCAAACAACGAGACTTTAAGATCAGTATAATGATAACAATAAAGTTACATCTCCAAATAAGAAAAGTAAAAATGGGTACGTGTAACCTAATGTGTAGATTATCATTAAAATTATCATTAAAATGAATTAACTATAATAAAAGCACTTAGCGTTAAAGGTTAACATCTTAAAAAAAAGTCAATCACAATGTCAAATAAAAGCAAAGCAGATAGACCTACAAATAAAAGAGAGAACCCATTTTCTACTCCAATTAGGCAAAAACCTTTATTAACTAGCCCGTTATCATTAGATTCTCACACCTCACGATCTTCGTCCAATTTAAGCACACCTTCTAGGATAATGCTAGGATCGAATTCGAATGAAATGGATCATGTTTTATATTTCGCAAAACCTTATAGTGAGTGGAAGCTAATAAAATTTCTAAAAAGAAAAAAATACAAGCAAGCCCAACAAGATACTAATTGGAAAGATGAATATAAAACTTATGAAAAACATATAAATGGTATTTTTGATGAGAAAATACGAAAAAATCTTTATAAAACTTACTTGGTAATTTTCAGACTATTTAAGCCTTTGACTTATATTTATAAAAGTTTAAAACCTTCCTGATAATTTTATAATTTATAAAATTTAGATGCCTTTTTTATTTTTAATTATTTTTATTGCTTAGCTTGTCAGTTTTTAAAAAGTTAGTGAGCCTAGCATTTTGTCTTTTAATTTGATTGCTCGCTTGTCAGTCTCTGAAAAGTCGTCAAGCATAGCATTCTACCTTAATTCCATTTATTTTTATCACTTAGCTCATCAGTCCTTGAAAAGTCGGCAAGCATAGTATTTTTTTTAATAATTGCTTGCTTGTCAATCCTTGAAAAGTCATCAAGCATAGCATTCTCTTTATTTTATTTTTTTCTACTTATCTATACAAACAATGCTTATTAAGTATTACATGTGATAGAAAGACAAAGGATCAAATGAAGTCAAGAAGTTTTGGTCAGGCTGGTGCTAGCAATATGCGAAATCTGATAAAAATAAAATTCTACCCGAAGCGCAGAATTTCTTAGACATGCATGGTTTATATTTTATTTTGCTCTTTAAAACTGAACTCATAAATTTATTCTGAATGTAGATGATGTGTTAGAACAAAAATCAGCAAACTGGGAATCATTGGAAAATCAAAAGCAGGTAATCCTGATACTTAAATCTTTACCTATTATTTTCGTATAATCAAATATTTTATTACTATGCTTCATTCACAGAAATCCAATAATAAGTTACCATTCGGACGAACTATAGAAGATTCTCTGCAAGAAGCAATCATTCAAATTCAAGAAAAAGATTCTTATTATAATCATGAAATTTTTTCAAATATTATTAATACAAATGATAATGACATTAAAATGATCTTCTCTATAGAAAATATTAATTTTCTAAATGTATCACATCATTTACATTAACATCTTCGCAAGTTAATTATATTCATCTTTTAATAGAAAATGAGATCATACAACCAATAGAACGTATTAATTTCAATACTATACTTGAGGCCCTAACCATGACTACAATGGAAAACATAAATACCAATGCTGATAATACTATCACGAACACCAATACCATCACTAATATTAGCAATTCAAATATAACCATGAGCAATGCTAGCACTGATGATATAGGTGACAAAGGTGAAAGTGTTTTTAAGAAAATAACAAGCTAATACTGAGTTTCGTAATAAAGCAAATCATAAATTGGTTTGCCAATATAAATTCCTTGGAGAGTACAAGAAGGCATTGGAAATTGCTCTGTATTGGTAGAAATTCTGGTAAACATAATGATTAGTAGAATTAATTCGTAACTCTGGTAAACATAATGTTTGTTACTCTGGTAAACGTTATTTTGGTAAATTAATTCGTAACTCTGGTAAACATAATTTTGGTAGAATTAATTCATAACTCTAATAAACATAATTTTGGTAGAACACATTTTCCGTTTATTTTATTGTTATTTTATTTTTTTTTATGACACGCATACCTGATATTACCCAAAGAAGACATTAATTACCCGGAGGTATCTGACGAGTCTGACTAAGAAAACTACTGATATTAAAAAAATATATATTACCAGTAACGGCTTTAAATTCCACGTAATATAGAACTAAAAATTAACATCCATATAGCTTATTAATTTTTGCATAGCAATTTTTTATTTATAACAACTGATGATTGGAAGAAAAAAAAGCTCTGTTTTCATATGAACTGGTGGAACTTTATAATGAAATAACAGTAATTTGAAAAAAAATCTAAGGTTTGGCATATCCAGAGGTGGCTATAAAGAAGCTTGTTAAAAAATAGTTAATATATTTTGATATTTCATTGGTCAAATTGATTTGTCAAGGTCTTATCAATCGCCAAGAGTTTTGTCAATCATCAACGTTTCATCTGATGTCACATCTTACTTTATCATTAAATTCTATGGGATTACCAGATGTTAATGTTTAATTTTTTAAGATATTTAGCAAACTAGATAAATTGTTACTTTTATAGGTTTTGCATATTGAAGTTTGTACAAACTGACTGTCAATTTATACGAATTTAACTGTTGTTTGTATAAATTTGACTGTCAGTTTTGTATAAAATTTGACTGTCAGTTTGTATGAATTTGACTGTTTGTATGAACTTGGTATGCAAAACCAGTATATGAATAAATAAATTGTTACTTTTTATATGAATAAATAATTATTTAATTATAAACCTTGTTTATTACAATTATTAGTTACAAACTTTAATACAATTATTAGTTACAAACTTTAATATATTGAATTCACCTTTAAGAAGGTCAATAATACATTCTTATTAAAAAATCGCCCTAATTGTTTAACTATGTGTTTACATATAACGATAAGTCCATGCCAAATAATATCACATGATTACAAGGTTAGGAATTAGTATCGGTATGTTTAATTTTATCATGATCTATTGAAACTCAGTTCATTTTCCGACAACACCTTGATGCCGTAGGAGAATAAACTGAGTTGAATTGACAAAATTAAAATATAGGCTAAAGTTTATCATTAACGGGATAGTTATTATTTGTTTCAAGGATTTTTTTGATAGGAATTGTTTGTAGCAATTGCTTAATTTTTGTTTTTATTTTTTGCTTTTGCTCTAATCCTTTTTTGAAAGTGAAACAGACTAATAATAAATAAATTATTATTAAAAACATGCGGTAATTACCAATTAGCAAATTTTAATATAAAAAATAATACAGTCAAACCTCTCTATAGTCACCTCCTCTATAGTCACAAAATTGGTATAATTACAAATTTATTTTTACTAATTATTTATAACTATATAGAAAATACCTCTATATTAGTTACACCTCTTTATAATCACGGTTTTTTGTATCCCGAAAGTGTGACTATAGAGGGGTTTGACTGTATCATATTATGTGTTTTAATTGTAGATTATTAAATATGCTAATGCTCAACTTACGAATGAAAAATCAAATACCTTAATAAAATTTGTATTATTATATTTATATTTTTAATTTTATTTTTTTCACATAATTCAGTTCATTATCATTAAATTGTGAAGCATTCTTTGCAATATTTACTAATTCTAATATTTTTTCCCCTTTAATGTTATGGAATTCAGGAAATTCTGGATTTCTAAACAGTTCTTTAATCAGGCAATTATATTTGCTTTCACTTGCACTAAGAAAATATTTTGCATTTAGCTTAACTTCGATCATCTCATTTGATGTAACATTTGTTACCCATAGGAAATGGTGCAGTTTTCAACATGCAGTCCACTTTCTCAAAATAGAGTGTGAATTAATATTGCTAAATTTTTTGTTAATCTGAGCCTTTAAATCATTACCTTTCCAATTATCTGTAGTCCTCTCTAATGCAATTGGGCTCATTTCTTCTTGTTGTTCTTGTTGACAAAGTATCAACAATATAAAAAAGAAATCAGACAAAGAATATATTAGCTTAAGCATTTTATACTGATTGTTGATGATCTCTTTTTGATAATGTTCAAAGTGTTGTTCCCATAATTGAAGATACTTTAAACAACTGCCAACATCCTTCATCTGTTTTGCAATGGCTTCAACAAAACTTTTGTTGAGTCCTCATTAAAATATTTTACAATTGGTTGTGAATACATTCCCACTAAATCATTTGTATTTGATGCAAAATTGTTGGACATTCCTTCTTCTTTTCTTAGTTCATTCAATCTTTTTGCATATAAAACAAAACGGTCAATTTATTTCAAGATTTCTATAAATCGATATGGCCTCAGTAAGTGAAATCTCCTTTCGAGTGGGTCTGGCACTAGAAATGGGTATCATGCGCATTTTATCCCATCAAGATTTCTTTCTTTTCGATCGTGTTTTCTTTTTTTTGCCTTTTTTTATCATGCGATATCATGCGTATGAAACATTTTGTGCATATTAATGCATATTCATGCGCATGTTATTATAATATACGCATTTTTCTCATCACTATCCGGCACCCCACGAGGTCCTTTTTGTTACAAAAAAAAATTTTTACTGTTCACAAACTTAAAATCATGTTCTCTTGAGAACTCTGAGAACACTAATTTCGAACACGGTTTATAAAGTGATTTTTCATTTTGTATGATTTGTTTAATAATGATAAAATCACATTTTTTTTAAAAATAATTAAATTTACGTAAAAAT